AGTCTCTAAAGTCATTTATAGACTATCCTACTGATATATGTGTGATTGGATTGAAATGATATAAGGATGACAGTTTAAGAATTCAGCCTTGTGTTACATCCCAATTGGAAATGTGTTTTCTCGGATAATTCGCAAACAATAATCACTGAATAGAAAACATTCTGTAGAATTTATGAAACTCATTAACTGACGCAATACTTTTGCAGGCATTATAGTGTTTCCTCAATAAAGCGAGATTTGTATATTTCGGCTGCATAAAACGAGTAAGTGGTATCCTGGCAATACCAATGACTACAACAAGTCTTGGAATCATGCACCACAACTTTTACTTTACTGAATACTCCAGCAGATTTGAAATATACACTTGACAAATATCAAATTTATACAGGAAGTCAGTAAGATTCACTAAACTAAAAGCACTTTCGGGTTACATAGGAGATTTCCATGCCGAATTTATTCCTCCGAGGGCCTACACAGATTACAACTTCAATTAAATAACATTGACGTTGAAGAAATTCCATTCTTCATTACTAAACCTAATGATAATAATAATGTTTTTCTTCTAGAAACAGGAGCATTCCTAATGTTTCATTTTATGTAAATGCAGTTACATACAGTTGCACTAAGAACTCAATGCAACTCGGTGCACAATAGTATATACACAAATAAAATGAAAAATAACGTCCTCCTTACCTTCTGAACAACTGGTCCTTATTACAGGATAATAACCTTGATTCACGCATAAGCCTGAGTTATTTCTATGAAATCACAATATTACATCAGTTAAATCTCGCCCCGAAACCAAGGCCACTTGAAACCAATAGCAACATACAGACAAACGTCATTGAGGGGATATGCAATAAAGTCGCTCCAGTGGGTCAATATTGTGTTCGTTACTGCACACATCTCGTCTAAGTGAAATGCCTCTATTCGGTCGTCGGGGGAGCTGCAGTGTCTCCCTGCAGGGTTTCTTCAATTAGCTTTCGAGGGCGCAATACTACGCATTGATGAATCTAGCCAAAAGCATCCGGTCAGAGTCGAATTACTTTTTCAACTAAAGGTGGCAATACTGATATCAGTAAAAGTATGATCTCCATGTAAAATGAGGAGTTCTGATGTAACACAGCACTGCATCTCGGCAGGTTATTCTTCGTGGTATACTAGTAGAAGTCGTGAACTAAGCACACATGAAACATGGAAGTGTCCCGTTGAGCCATGCAGCCGAAAAGCTGGTGAAGTGCGACATCTTCCACAGATGCACCTACAGAGGTATCGACATGTGTTACTTCACGTGAACTTGGGTTCATATCAAGAAGGCGTTTCCTTCAATCGACACTCCGTTGTACTCTCAATTATTGTTCGTACATGTATAAAGACTTGGTGCGTTTCCTAGTTTGCCTATAATTACGGAACGAACATAGTTTAAAGGAACACCTTAAATGTATTTTATTAAAGTTATCTGTGTTCCTTCTCTTGTCTTAACTGTCGTCGCAATGGTTGACTCAGTTGAAGGAACACATCTTAAAATGGTGTGTTCTCTGACTGTGAACCGTAACTACCTATTTTCGAATTAATATCATGCCTCTAACCCCATGAACCTATGGATATAGTTCTTCCTTCATGGTATACTACGATATCAAGAAGTCAGGAGCACACTGTTTTCAGTAGACCTGGCTTTCCTTTGTCACTGTAATTGGCGGGTAAGTTGGTGCTGTGGAAGCAGGGAAGACAACTCTGAATCAAAATATTTTCTAGATATGAACATATTTACTTGCTGTGGTGACAATTTAATCCTCATATCAGGAAACCTCTAGGGACGTCCCCCATTTTTAATTAGTAATTCAAAACTAAAAGTAAACGCCATGTTGCTAAGTTATTCAAAAGACAGAATTGTGAGTGAACTAGTGTTTGGATTCACTTATTCTAGCATAATTGAATAATATCAATAATAATCACCTAGCCTGCCAACAAGGAGTTTACTTTCACCTTAAGTCAAAAACAATTTTAGTTACCGACCAAATTAGTAGTTTCAGGAAACTTCTCTACTTTTGTCTTCGAAATACTTTGCTCGATTGTATTTTACTTCACAATATGTGTATACTAGTTAGTTGATGCTGCTTATACATACATCCAGTCGTACTGTCGCACCCCTGTTCCTCTCACTCAAAACATCCCTTAAACTACCAACAAGTAACTATTGCTTCTAAATATGTAACTTTAGCCGTTCGCATGTAAACGATGTAAATAACTTTGTCATTTGCCTGATTTTACGACCATCGAAATGTCAATTTTCTCCCCACGTAGGCACCCATTTCAATTCAAATGAACTGTTCTAACTGTTGGTTACTGCATAAAGTATGTTTCGTCATACACCATCATCCAACATATAGGTACTGGCAATAATTACAAATTTATCACGAGAACAAGAATGAACTGCATATTAACGACAATACAAATGAAGGACAAACGTCCTTTCTGAGTCCGCTGGTCAATATAGCACATGACTCTAATCTCCCTAACAACATTCGCTGCAGTCAACTAGAATACCCATTTGAGGAGTGGGGGATAGAGTTATCAGGGATTTAAAACAGAATGAAAAATTACCGATACTGGAAACCACTTTCTTCACTAACGAATCCAATGAGGTCACCAAAATTATCGAGTACCTAAAACACAAGGGTTCAAATGATACATACATGAATGTCGCTATTAATATAATAATTATCGAGTTAAGACAGTAAGAATTGCAAGTTTATATTAGTGTGTGATTATGTCAGTCAAAATTTCCGATTAGAGTGTATATGGCAACTCTTCCTAAAGCTTACGCTTATAGCTCTAAAAATCGTTGGACACCACATCTACATGATTCCCAGATAATTCTGTGAATGGTCGCTGTAAAAAATCACATAGTGTAGCTCCAAGACAATAGCAAAAAGCGGGGAGCTAATGAAAGCAAACACAACAACGGGAAAAGTGATGCACACCTCAGATATACTTGCTTACCTGATCACGACGATGTTGAAGTTATTCAAATCCAGCACAGTACTAGAATATGTTGCAGTATGTATTTAACTCAGAATTTCTGGCGGAAAACAGCGAATGCTGCAAGTGTTAGTAGAACATAGTGCCATTTCTGTCTATTTAAGATCACGCATCTTTGTTTGTATCTACCGCTTCTGTTGACCTTTGGCAGCCTAAACACCACACAAGTCCATAGAGTCAATGCACAAAAACTTCTGAAAAGGACGTCGTTCTGCTAAAAAGCATCTAAATAGTAAAGCGCGAAGTCGCCACAAAGATTAAGTTCAGATCAATTCCAAAAGCTGTGTCAACAAACTATTTGAGACCAGCTGACTTATATGTAGGTACCATAGCTTCATCTTTTATTCCTTTACTAACACCACTCTTTCCTCTTACCGCCCACATAATAATGCTTCTCTGAGGCTTTTTTGACTCTCTTGAGGAATCTTGGAAGGAAATGGTACATGCAAGTCTCTGAGGTGTTACTACCCTAGTACAAAACATGAGTTCCTTACGAAACAAATCAACACTCGTTCTCCTACTGGGTTCGGTGAAACTAAGCAGTCTGGGCACAGGTTTCCCATCCCGGTGTACGCCAAAAGAATGAGAACGGTAGTGAAATGCCAAGAAGCGATAATCAAAAAAGCAAATCTTTCTAAAGGTTCATCAAAGAAATATTGGATATCATAAAAAGGAACTGACGACTATACGAAGAGCACTGTATAATGACATACAGACAAATAAATTCCTTCCATAATACAATCAAAATTTAGGCTCAATGATGTTGGACAAAGCATCTACTAGAGATGTTGTTTTAATGTATCGGTGGTTTCCAGAAGTATTCAAGTGAGTACATCGTGAGTTTAAATTTGTTTTCTTCTTTCGGGAAATCTCAAGAAAGTAGTGGTGAACTGAGTCAAGGTTTGAATACTTTTCCTCTTCTGGGTAGTGATGATCGGGTTATTGGCACCCTGATTATGTGGGTAGTCTTTTTTTCAGAAAGACACTATTGGGAGACCGTATGGTATCTGAACTGCGCATTGGACTATTAGAAGTACGAGGTTTCCCCACCTTCACTAAATGACTCTTTAGACAGTTTTCGTGCACATGAAATTGACCTATTTCTGGACTGGGTTGCAATAATTGCCTGGTTTCAGCTTATTTGGAATAATATCGGTTCAGCGCACGCAAGTAGGTAATCAGGTCTTCGATGATGCCATCCATCTGAGGTATCCGAGATACCAATCTTGAGACCAATTCAAAGTAATTCACCATACAAAGAGTGCATACTCTTTCTTCTACTGACAAGTTACATCAAGTTAGGTCTGAAAACGAATAAAGTGACCTGAACTCGCGTGAACTGGTAACCCTCAAATGTCAGGGTTTTACCCAAGAACTGCATCCTCCACTGGTCTAGCCATCATTCGTTTTCTGTCTCTGTATTGCAAGTGACTATACGTAGAGCTCGTGTTTCCACCACTTAACATACTGATGCTAGGGTTACCTATATTTAGTGGACGGTTTGGTATTATAATTTCCCGTAGGACGGATGAATGTAATGTAGTATTGTTGTCCCAGCCTGAAGCTGCAGATGGGTTTTCAAGTCGCTTTTGCAAAACACAAGGATAGTAAGTGGAGTTTGGGCATTTCGGTGATGCTGATAACTAGGTGACTTTGCGAGGACAATTTATTGTTCATAATTACATCAGTACATTCGCATGACTTCCTGAATTGCTCTGTGTTGTTTCATTCCCTGTTTTCATTGCAGTTTCTCGTCTTTCCAAGATGGGTTTTGCAGCGTTTCGACTGCGTGTGTTTGGTATTGGTTCATTGATCAAAGACGGCGATTTACCTTCGTCTTCACTTAATTACATTACATTTTACTACTTCCACATTATGACACTCTAGGGTTTTAAAAGTGACATAATTAGGTGAGTAGAGGGGTCAGTCACTGAATCCTACTTATCGAATTAACTATCACGTGGAGTCGAGGTGATACATCCCCGGATAGTTAGGAAACTACAAGAAAGTTACACAAGCGAGTTAGAAATGCGCTGATGTGATTGTGAACAATAATTTGTACTAGTCAAGTCATCCAGTTATTCACTCTATCACTGAGTTATGTCGAATAAACTTAGTGTGAAAAACATGTAGGTACCAACACTTAATTCAATATTTAATTTATATCCCTGCAGCATCGAGATTTTTGTTAACTATTTACTTTACATTCATTTGACAGGACTAGCAAATTTAGTGCTTATCTGCCTATCAAAATGTCAGTCACGTCAGAATCTTTACCGACCGAAAATAAGCGCCCGAAAATTGAAAATGGCGTCTCATCCAGCCCCGTCAAACTCCGTTTCAAGAAATTAACTGACCAAGCAACGACTCCTACTCGTGGTTCAGCATTTGCTGCTGGTTACGACCTTTATGCTGCATATGACGCTATTATTTCCGTTGGAGGCAGAGGATTGGTCAAAACTGACATACAAGTAAGCAGAAATGAATTAATGTTGTCATTCCTTTACGCTTCATCAGTACATCAGGTTGTCAATAGAATCTCATGTTTCGTTACGCAAAAGCACTTTGTGTACTAGGCGTGATATCGCATAAGTTGAATTAGGTAGAGTGAAAACCGAACCGACGAATGGGAGTCGGCTGCTGACGCTAGTGATCTACATTTCGATAATTGGACGTCCGAATTGCATACATGGTGTCACCCTGAAGCTAGCAACGTTTCACAGAACGATATTCAGACTTGTGGAGGTCCCAGATATTTTCATCGCTTGGAGTCCAAGTTTTGCTAGCACAAAAAAGCTTTTTAAATCAACTAACATTCCTTGAACTCTGTGGGTACTTGTCTAAATATTTTGTTGAGGATAAGGTGCCATATTAAGACCCTTACCAAGTGTCATTGTATGTATTTCGTTCTCTCAGTTTTTAAAAGATAATCGTACAGATATGGATTCATGAACACCATACTGAAGTGAAATTCCAGCCAGTGATGCAGAAACAACATAAACATGCTAAAATTAGTATAGATTGCTGGAAAAGTCTATGGAATGGAAACTTTAACACTTGAGTGTTTAGTTCATTACACAGAACAATTGTCTAACTGCAAAATCTCCAGTCTTTATTGTTTTAGTAGTTCCGGAAATAGTGTAACGCCTGAGAAATCGCTCGGGATTTTTCTCTACTATGTAATGTTTATAAGTGCAATGCAGTCACTTAACGTACACAACGTGATTACCCCCTTCGACTTATATTCACAACATTTTGATACCTAATAGTGTTCGTTTGGTGTCAGGATCAGACACTGTTTCGTTAGTTCAGCCATCATTGTATGCAGAAAGTTGATACATGACAAAGTTCAAGGTTTTCAGTTGCATTGCTTTCTAGTTTTATACTATTTTTGAAATGATTAACAATTTTGTTCATAGGCAATCGCTGTAGTACTTATTCCTTATTTATGTCATTCGGTGTTATCACGTGGAAGATTTATGAAAGGATGAAGTGATTGCCGCAAGTTTTCCCTCAATGAGCTTTTCGTAATCCTCAGTTGTGTGTATTATAATCCACTTATTTCTCCTGATTGTCATTTATTTAATAGATTGAATTGCCTGATGGATGTTACGGCCGCGTTGCTCCGAGAAGTGGTTTAGCCTTGAAAAATGGAATCGATGTGGGTGCTGGTGTTATTGATCAGGACTACCGCGGTAATGTTGGCGTCGTACTTTTCAACTTTGGAGAAGAAAACTTCGTGGTAAGCTGATTATGTTGTGGCAATCCTTTGACTTTTATGAATTCCTAGCTTAAAAGTGTAGCTGTACATATGTTTATTCTATGCTTTGAGTGTTCCTACTCCTGTTTTAAGTTTGCACTTAAATGGTTTTATCTACAAACTAGTTAACTATGAGCTTTTTTCAAGCATGTCTCCACTACAATAACTTGGTGCGTTATATTTGTTTGCATTGATTGCGGTCTTTCAAGTCTCTGAAGTGCTGTCATTTCCCACGGTTTCTATCATAAATCTTTTGTAACCATTATAAGAGTGGGAAATAAATTTCTCACCAGTTAGGTTATTCAAATCTTAATCGATAATACACTACTTATATTAGTCACACTAGAGATTTACCACGGACTCACTCGATTTTTAGCTATATTTATTAGGACTTAACAGGAAAGAAATCTGACCATAGAAGCTGCAATCATTCCATTATTAGCAGAAATATTTTTAGCCCATTCAGGAAAATTCATACTAAGCCAGTGACATAAAAAACGAATCTGTGCTCAAACCGTGTAGACTATTTTATCAATTCTAAAAGTTGGAATCATGTTTGTAAAATATCTGAATAAACTTTTTGGGTTTTACTGTTACTGGAGTAAAGTACAGCTTCTTTGCACTTAGTTTTACTTAACCTCGTATAAATAAAACAATGCTTTTCCCATAGTGCATTTTGTCCACTTATAAAAGAAGTCTCTTAAGGACCATCAAATGATCATCAGATGAAGAGATGAATTGCAAAGTATTCCAAAAGCTTTACTGGTCGGTGGATACTCGACAAAGCTGATTTCAGAGTGGATTAAAATTGAAAGCTTTGATTGAAATAACTTGTTCATTCGCTGGTGATTAAGTCCTCAGAATAATCACTAATTGGTTATAGGCATCTCATTGCTTGCTGGCTACGAAACTAAAAATTGTTGCTGAGGTTTGAAACATGATTGGAAAAGGTTATTCGCGTATGGGGTGCATTAAACTTTATTGCTATATTATGTAGTTACATGTACACTAGGGAGGACGAAAAGGATTCTTGCTAAATATCTGACGAGGAATTTGTCTTTAAAAGATTAAGGACTACATGGGCATCAGTGTTAGGCTACCACGAGTAACTGACAGAAGAAATCAGCCCAAGTTACCCAGTGTTCACTTTGATTTGTGTCTTTTAAATATTTCTAAAATCTATATGTAACTCATCTTAATGTATATGTTGTTCGTATCACCTACTTTTGCATAACCTTATGACTTATTTGTCAAATTTTAGGTTAAAAAGGGCGATCGTATAGCTCAGTTGATTTGCGAGCGTATTTTCTGTCCAGAATTAGTGGAGTGTGAATCACTAGAGGAAACACAACGTGGCTCAAGTGGTTATGGTTCTACTGGAGTATGAGATGTAATACATGTACGCCCAGATTTCCTATTTTCCTAATACAGATTTTGTACATGTAAACAGTTTTCTTAGTTCTTCATTGACATTGATAGTTCAAAGCAGCCTATTTTGAAATATATTTCGAGTGATCTTGTCACTTGTACAAGGTTACATTTTCAGTCTGGTCAGTAGATTAATATTTGTCAATTGTTGGGTCACAGGGATTTGATTGGTCACAGGTCTGTTAAGTACTAGGATCTTTTTAACTTCTCATAATAATGATTTTGGCAATAAAATTTACATATGAATACATTCTGCAGAGGAATATTGACTTCTCAGTCGACGAACATAAGGATTCGGTATTGGAAATCGTAGAATTGGATGAACAGAAATAAACCTAATTTTTCTAGTGATTTTGCCTTTAGCATGTAGAAATAAATCTTTGACCTTCTCGGTCAACCTTTCGCGTGTGAACAGTGGTCGAGTGATCTGTCCAATAGTGTTATTGTCTTGATATAAGAGTAATAACTAACCGACGAATTTCAGTACCTTCATAACTGCTTTAACAATAAATTAATAAGTGATAATGTCAAACGTGTATTACTGTCTCTGACAGGAAAGGGGAAATCGCCTTGCTATGATGGGGATGGTTTGCAACCTTTTTGTTTTTAACTCCATTATGGATAGGATTTTATTTTGATAAATCACACAGTGTTGTACTCATCAACCTGAAACCAATCTGGAAATCTTCGTCACTCACCATCAACAACAAAATTCGGATTTTCAATACAAACGTCAAGTCAATTTTGCTTTACGGATCAGAAACTTGGCGGGTCACCAAGAATATTTTCAAAAGGTTGCAGACCTTTATCAACAACTGTCTTCGCTCCATACTGAAGATTAGATGGCCAGAAAGAATCACAAACAAGAAGCTATGGGAACAAACGAAACAGGAACCAATCGCCCAACAAATATGCCGGAGAAAGTGGAGATGGATTGGACACTCGCTGAGGAGGCCGTTGAGTGACATCGCGCGTCAAGCTCTCGAGTGGAACCCGAAAGGGAAGCGGCGAGTGGGACGTCCAAGGGTGACATGGAAGAGATCGTGTGAGGAGGAGATGAAACAGTATGGAATAACATGGACGCAAGTGAAAAGAACAGCAGAAGACAGAAGCAAGTGGAGACGTGCAGTTGAAGCCCTATGTTCCACTAGAAACCCAAGGGAACAATAATAATAATAATAATACAGTGTTGTACAGTAATACTAACCGATGACGTTTCGAGCACAAACCATTGGTCATAATCATATCAATTTACTCGCACAACTTTTTTTCTTCATTTATATACATATGTGGAATCGATTAGATGTTGGAATAAAAATCAATATAGGATAATATGCATTCTGAAATTATAATATGCGCGTTATTGATCAATTGCAATCAGATGGGAAATAAGACGACTGGCCCTATTCAGGTAGGTAGTTACCTGGGGTTCCAGTGGGAAGTCGTGACCAGTAGGGTGTGAGGACAAATACTCGCCGAAGACATTGGATAGCGGTTGCGCTATATCGTGAATTGGCAGAAGTTAGAATTCATGGGCCATTGGATGGAATCCCAGTGGCTGGATGGTATACGAGCTCGCCTTGTAACTAGAAGGTCCTGGGTTCGAACCCCGGTGGATGCGTACTGCTGGAGAGTCCCAAACTAGAACGAAACAGCTGTCCAGTACTCCCAGGTTTTCCAATGGTTCTCTAACCAATGTCAGCTCATGATGAAATGCTGTAACCAATCAACCAAATCCCTACAAACCAATACTTAAATAAGACGAGTGTTATTTTATAGTCATAATAATTAACTTGTTAGAATGTTGTGATGTGTTTCAATTGAATTGGTTTTAGGTTCAGCTGCGATTCTATTCGTCCAGTAGCCATCGCTTCGTTGGGTATTAGCAAGTTCTGTACCAGCTGTGCTCTCAATATTCCAACGTTAGTTTAAGGCTGGTTTCTGTTGTTTCAGGTCTGTATCTGACACTCAGAGAAACTTGTACTTAGTTTTCACGAAAAAGATAGTTTTGGATGGTTAGATTATACTTTATCTGTCTAGCATTGAGTATAATCAAGTCGATTCATGTTTGGTTTCTGATCGTTAATAGAGACTTGTGATATGGATTCCTGTTGTGAAGAATGTAACGAAGTGTGAGTGTTTTTTCAAATGGGTTTTACAACACTAAATAAATGTTACTCCACCAAATTTCGTAGTTACCATTTTACCTATTTGCCCATTTTCGGCTGTCCAGTCGTTGAGTCAAGCTTAAATGCAGGTATACGAAAACGCAGTGTTTGGAGCGTTTTTAAATACCGATACTAGGTTTACGTTAGATGCTATTACGGGGATCGACAGCATGGGAATTACCCATATACTGCGTTGTTAATTCATGCTATATGTTGCTTGGAGTTCAGTGGGTTCCATAGTGGTATACACGTGATCGTAAAATGCCATACGAACATAAAATTAATTGTTATGTATCTGTAAGCTGGGAACAGTGGTGATAAAAGCCTATTCAATTCTGCTGTATACTGCACTCAGTCAATTCCTTATTCCCAGAAGGGATATCCTGAAGCTATTTCCCTAAACTGGTGAAGAGTTTGCCACACGGTAATATAAGTGCTACGATTTTCAAGCATCTAAATGGATGATTAGAAGTTTGGTAAATTTGACAATTCCACCTCCATAGTTGACTATCTTGGAAGTAATTTCAATTAAAGTTTTTCTCTATTACACATTTCATTTGTTCCCACTAGCTTTGCACTTCCGCCTCTCAGTCTTCGTGTGTCAACATGCGCATACACAGAGTGCTCACATTTATGTCAAATTAAACTAGTGCTTTTCACTAGTCGAATTCGTGTAAGCAAAATAAAAAGTTGCTGAAATCTCTGTTATAGTCGAAATTCATTTACCGATGATTTAATACTTAGTTACTTATAACCCGATGTTGACATTTCGACGATTAAAAAAAGTTTTAACTTTGTAGCCGATAATTGACAGGAATTTTCAGCGAATTGTGTGATAAAGTGTTGATAAGATGGTGTTGCGGACTGCAGAAATTTTACCGAGAAATCAATGTTTAAAAAGTTTCATACTAAAATTTGAGCTGTGTTAATTGGCTTTCAGAAGTATTAAAACTAGGTTTCTCAGGTGTTTCATCGAGATTGTTGTAGCTGTCTTCGTTTCAATTCCTGTTTTTAAATGAAACGGAGTGCAGCAAATGCATAGCATACTTCCAAGATTCTTTGACTGGACACTAGTAACTAGTCTGATGTGTCTAGTTCTTTCTTTGTTGCAGACTGAATTCTATCAGTCAGGTTTGCAATGTGGCCACCATTCTAGGTAGCTTGCCATCACGGTGCACATTGATCTGATGATATTATATGGTTGGAGGTAATCGACAGGAAGCTTTGGACCTAGGTTTCGTGCTAGCTGGCACTCATCAGTAAATCGTATCTGCAACCTTGAAGGGACTCATGTCCCTTCTGATATTCGGACTCGTGGCTAGGCACATCACACTAGTTACTAGTGTCCAGCCAAAGTATCCAATACAGTCCTACAGGAGGTCAATCGCGAGCCCGAATATATATTTGTTTTAAGAACTGTTATATTATCATTATTAATATTCCCTTGGGTTCCGAGTGGAACAATGGGCTTCAAGAGCACATCTCCACTTTGTCCTGTCTTCTGCCACCCTCTTCAGCTTGGACCACGATCGCCCACAATCTCTTATCTCTTCTTCGCACGATCTCCGTGTCACCCTCAGACGCCCAACTCGTCATTTCCCACTGGGATTCCACTCAGGCAATGGCCTGCATTGCACGCCATGTCATTCGACGGCCTCCTCAACGTATTCCCGATCCATCTCCACTTTCTCCCACATATTTGTTGAGCAATCGGCTCTTGGTTGGTTTGTTGGCTGAGTTGCTTGTTGCTTATTCTTTCTGACTGGCCATTTGATCTTCAGTATGGAGTTCTAAGAACTAAAGATATTTAATACATTTCAGTATGAAACTTGTACATAACTGTGTCTGAGTGACATCACAAATATGAGAAGCTTTCCTTTCAAAATATTTCCAGGTTCTCACACCCCTGATATGCTGAATTATAGTGTTCCCGTTAAGTTAGAAAAGTGTGATGAGGTCGGCACTAGTAGAAGAACACAACAGGTACGATAAGAATTTCTATCAGTGTAAAAATGGAATGAATTTAAGTTTGTAAAAGAAAAGTGGTCTTATAATTCCAAGTTATGAAAGTTTGTTTAGATGGGTCCCAGTGGCTGAATAGTATACGAGCTCGCCTTGTAACTGGAAGGTCCTGGGTTTGAATCCCATTGGATGCGTACTGCCGATGATTCTTAAACTAGGATGAAACAACTGTCCAGTACTCCCTGGTCTGTGCGTCGGTGGCGCAGCGGTTAGGACTCTCGCCGACCATGCACATGCTCCGTAGTTCGGTACCCTGCCGGCGCACACCCGGTAGCAATGGTCGGTCTGCAAAATTTGGGCTACCGATATCACATGCTGAAAATTCCATACTTGTACCAAAAATACTGTGTGGTTTCAAGCTATAATAAAAAAGAAATACATTGAGTGAAATCAGAATTTGCACAATAAACTTCCGGTAAAGAATATTTTTGGACCATTTCACTGGCTTGGAATTTAACAATGAATCATTCAATTCATAATTTTATTTTACTTCCCTTGTACTAGTTAGTATAAGGTACTCATATCTGGTAACAGATCTCCAATTCCCCAGAAGTTTAATTTATAAATATATGAGATTCTC